TCATTTTAGTGTTCTTGAAATGTTTAAGCTTCATTTCATACATCATTGATAGATATAATTGTATTTATTTAAATGCGAATTATCGAAATTTAAATCTTGCAAGAGTTGTCTAGTATTTCCTCTTGCGAAGCATTCGTGCATGCTGTATTCAGGTATATTCTGCTGTTGTCAATTGTAATACGCTGGAAAAATGTGGTTTCACCAATTTTTGACATTGTAAGTTGTAGATTGGACAGATTTTAAAATTAATTCAAGCCACCAACAGCCCTCCAACGTCAGTAATCTTTTAAATCATGTTTGTTTAATGTTTGCGGTTTTAGACCACAAAGGTTATATTTTGTAAATAACATACGAATTAAAAAAACAAATGTTGCCTTTAAACATAGTTATTCAATATTTTAACATTGGTTCTAATCACTGATATGCAATTAATTATTATAATCTATATTCATCTGTATCCGAAATTAAAATAACATTTATGCCAATATCTAACACAAAAATGTACTGGTCATATATAATTGGTTTTTCCCTTTTAAAAACTTTCCCTTCGGAAAACTGGTCTAGATTAGGACCCCCTCCACAGACCTAGCTGTGATGAAAGGAGAGTATAAGAGTACACAGTATGACAGGAATGCCTCACTACATAGGACTGGAACAAATAAACAGGATAAACAGTTTAGACTTTCTGTGATGTGCACAATATTCAATTAAGAAATTATTACCAAAACAACCTACAATATGAGGATATCAAGAACCCCATTTAAAGTCAATATTTGGCAAATTCTATGGTCGATACAAAGAATCTAATTGCAACTAGTTGAATGTTGGCTGACGTCTTTCATACGAATTCTTAGGCCATTTTTTCACTCTGGATTGTCTACGGATTTTTCGGTTTACTCGATTATGACAAAGAGCACACGGCGGGTGTGACCAGTCGACAGGGGATGCTTACTCCTCCATGGACCTAATCTTGACTCTGTCTTCAAACCTCCGTGTTTGCTCTGCTCACAATGTGCATTGTTTGATTGGACTTTGAGAATGATTAGTCTACAAGTAATAGTTTGTTAACTTCACATTTCACTTCTTCCACCATAACGGGAAAGACTCGACAACGCTAGACTACATACTCCGAGGAAATAATCAAGAAGGGATAAGTGACATTGACGTAAGGAAGGATAACAATACGAACTTATCATACCATAAGCTTTTGAATGCTAAGCTTCCTCTTGGCATCAAAATAGATGGGGTTTAAGAAGATTGCCAGGGAAAAATAAAAGAAAGCCCAAAAGAAACAGGAAAATTGTATACTTGAGACCTACAAAGTAGATCTAATTCATAAAATGGCATATATCAAACCTAACCTTGATTGAACTTTCTGACATTACAGAAGCTATAGAAATATTTACTAGTAACATCATACGGGCACAGAGCAGGGCGTTTAAACCAATAAGAAAAAAATGTAGCAAAACTAAAGTTAGATTGTCAACATTGGTAGCAAACACAGGCAACTGAAGAGTGGTTTTTGTATATCCCCGTCCTTTTGAGAATCTTAATTAAACACGATAGTTTAGTAAAAATACACGAATTCCTAACCTTTCATGCATATATTCCGATATCCGACATCGTTGTCTGTTTTTGTAAAGTTTTAGAGATTGCCCCTGTACGGTATATAAAAATACTTGCATTTTAGTGCAGGAAAACCACAAGATCAAAATCATCCACTAGATTCAGGTTTTGAAAAAGCAAAGCTACATAACGAAAATCAGAAGCAAACATAAAGAAAGACTAAAAGTTGTTCTTTAAACTAGTAAATAAGCCAAGGAACAAGCTATTTGATTCAACTGACCATTTATTTTGGAGAAACAATGAATATGACAATATGGGATTGCAGATGCATTTCGAGTATCTTTTAAGGCCGAAAGAGAGTAAAAATTTTAATGACGATTTTAAAAAGCACGACACACTTATCTATAAAAGCTTATGCAAAGCTAGGAGAAAACCATTTGAAAAGATAAAAGAGGGGAAAATGTTGTCAAAAGCCTGAAAAAATGACAAGGCAAAAGAACGGTCAGGCCTCAAAACGGAACATCTCAAAATATGCATAGACAAGATACTATTTACCCAAGCGCTGACTACACTTGGCACTGGATGCTTACTCCTCCTGGACACCTATTTCCTCCTCTTCAATTTCCGGGGTCCGTGTTTTATTCCCCGTTCACGGATTCGTATTCTTAGTAGATTTTTTTTAAGATTGATCACTGTTCGTTATCTTCGGCTTTTTCCTTATCCCTCTGTAGTTTCCTGGTTTTGTTTTGTCGGTCCCTGTCTTGAGGACAGGTGTCAGGATTAATGTTTACAATTGAGCATCAGACGAGAGAGTACTCGTTCAAAAGATTATCGACTCAGTACCATATTTACATGAAACAATTTCAGAAATGTGAAAATCCAAGGATCTATAGAAAACCTGGCCCTCAACATGGATTTGTTCTATACTGCCATAGAGCAAAGCAAATTCAAAATTTCAAACCTCCATGGCACCTGATTCCACCTCTGATGTTTTCTAGAGGTTCATGTTTGCTTTGCTCCCGATTTGTATTGTTTCAATGGATTTTTTTTTAGCTTACTCACTGTTCGTTATCTCCATATTTCACAGTCTAACCTTAAGATTTCCTAAATAATTTAATTTTATGTAGGGTCATGTATATATTTTAAAATCAAGTAATTTAGGCTGGTGTACAAACTAAAACAATATTAGATTAGGATTTCCTAACTTTTTTCAACACTTTACTTCTTTAAATTATAAATCTTATCTTCTTTTTATCACCACCGTTCACGGTAGCTCAGTCGGTTGAGCGCTCGCTCGGCCGCGACTGATCCAAGTCGAAAAAAGGGTAACAACTGTTTCTTCGCCATGCGCTTGGCACTTTGAAGTGAAAGTTGCGGGTCATTCGAATGAGACCTTAAAAACCGAGGCCCCGTGTCACGACAGGCGTTGGCACGATAAAGATCCCTCACTGCTCCATGGCCCTGAGTGCCGAGTAAAGGTCAAAATTTGAAGTCCTTCACCGGTATATGGAGTCGTCTCTATATGAGTGAAAAAATCTCGAATGGGACGTTAAACAACATACAATCAATCAATCAATCAATCTTTTTATCATATCGCCTTTTCGAATGTTCCTTATACATTGAAGTATTGTTTCAAACACATCTCTGTAATAGTAGGATAATACAGTTAATAGAATTCAGGTAAACTTATTTTTAATACATATTCATACAGGTATATGAAAATCTATTTCTGGCAAAATATATCTTTGCTTTTTTTGTTGTCGATAACCTTTCAAAACATAATCACTGTGTAAATTTTACTGTTTCAGAAAAAAAAATATTTTAGACTTTACACTTACTTTTTCTATGTCATATTTTAATTTCCACAATACATTGTTTAATTATTGAGTGACACTTCTCGGACATTAGATCTGTTTTTACAAAAAGACAAAGTGCGTGCTATGTCACACAAGATCTCTTTTAACAACATTGTGTAATTAGCTGTTTGTAATGTTTAAAAACCATTTTATTACTCAATACCAGTGAATCTGTCACTCATTCAGTTTAATGTCAACACCTGTCATTTATTTACTAATTGTGTAGATTCTTATAAATAGTTATATATAATTTCAATCTTTAGTCCGGAATATACAAAGGCCAGTCTCGGCCACACCGACTCACTAGGACTTTGAATCCGAAGGCCACCAGCAATCAAATCTGATTCACGTTTAGCATGCCTTTCTGTTGATTTATAAAAATTGTTGCCATCGTTTGAGACTCATTTGATAAATACGGAATCTTTCATCATTTGTTTTATCTCTGGAATTGCATATTGGGCACGCGCGGATCTAGAGGGGGGGGACCCCCCCCCCCCTGGAATTTGCAGAGTTATTAAAAGTATATTCTGAAGCAAATTAAAAAAAAAAAACTTTGGACCCCCCCAAAAAAGAACGTGGACCCCCATCACCACCACGTTTTGGAAACGCATTTTACGTTTTTTTTTTAATTTTTAAAACTATTTTTATTTATTTATTTATTTATTTTTGCTTTTCAAGAAATGTTCTGCGTTTAATACGTTTGGGAAGGGAAATTATTTATTTATTTATTCATTTTTTTTTCTGTCCAGAAAATTGGTTGGAAATTTTTTTGACTGGGGTGGAACCCCCCCACCCCCGGGAAAAATTCCTAGATCCGCACCTGTTCGGTGACCTTTGGGAATATGGCACACCTTTACACCTTACGGCGCCTCTACCGATACCTTGTACTCTCCACTCCAACATCTCCTCACTCAGTTTCTGCAAACAATGCATACAGTTCCAGGGGAATTTTTTTGTACCCTCTAAAACTGTAAAATGTTATTTCTAAAATCATATGTACGATTTTATCTTTTTTCTGCTTTATTAAAATGACTAGATAAACTATCGTATACTAGATCATTTTACTTCATTAGTAAAGCAATTCAGTATTTTTTTATCGGGAAAATTAAAGAAATATCTACGGTATTGTCTTAATAATGCAGACAGCTATTTTCACATCTGACATCTGGATATAACAGAAGGTGCTGCTGATGGACTGTTAGTCCCCGAGGGTTTTTACAGCCCAGTAACTTAATACCTCAGTAGTAGCTTAAAAATACGGATATATATTTAATTGTTGTGGTAAAATTTAAAAAATTATTTCAAAATTAAGGATTATCTTCCTCATGCATAGCTCTGATCCTTCACGTATTTGGATCCAGTCTTTGGCACACTTTTTTCAGCTCTTCCAAGTCTTTTTTATTGAAATATTTTGGATTTCCAACGTTTCGGCTTGAGCATCACTGAAGAAACATAATTTGTCGAAATGCACATCTGGTGCATCAAAATTGGTACCGTATATGATTTACATTATAGCTGGTTCATGATAATGTGCCAAGCACTCGACAGATTATTCTGTGCTTACAAAACTAAAACACGTTTGTTTTAGAATTATTTATATAAACAATATGCATATATATATCTAAAAAAACAATGAGACAAAATGTATTAACTACTATGCAAACAAAGATGAAAGATTAAGAATCATCATCAACGCACCACACAATTTTCCATAATGATGTTTGAATTATTGTACTCCTTCGGGGTGACCTCTCCATCTAAAGAAGAAAAAAATAGAATTAAAGTATTCTAACAATATCAATTTGTGCACAGTTTATAACTTAAAAAGTCATTCTAACATTATGAAATCTAAAAGCATTCTTAATAAATAAAAATCTGGCTCGATATAGTATCGCTATCATGAGAGGATCCTAATTTATGGGCGTTTTATCGCCTAATTACGACCGTTTTTAAGCTAATTAAAAGATATAAAGATAATATTATGTATGAAGAATATAATTATGTTAAATTTTTAAGAAATTTAGAAGCGTGCTAAAAATCCTTTAAGTAAAAATTGAGAATGAAATTAATTAAGTTGAAAAAGTCAATAATGCGATTGTGTAGAACTCTGTTCAATTTTATTTATTGACTTAATTAAAAAAAATAGATAAGATATATTCCAATGTACTTTAATATTTGTTTGACATTACCTGGAATAGTACTTCGTAGTTAGATAAATCTATAAATACATATTTTAATATAATAACAGCAAATCTATGTTTTAGAGTTAACTTACAACACAAAATACTGAACCATTGCTTTTAATACCAAGAAATGGTTATTTCAGGCGCAAGACTTATGACTTTGATATTTATGCTTTAACAAACGAAACAACTTTTGCTCATCCCAAAGCCGATAGATCTCACTTCTTACAAACAAAATTTTCTGGATTAAATTTTGTACTTAAAAAGATGCTATTCAATTCAAGCAAGTTTGATTTTCAAATTTTTTAACTTAAAAGATTTAAAATAATTATTTAAGGAGAAGACATCTGTTCAAATTCATTGGTAATTTAATGAGAATCCTTATTGCTTAGAATTTCCGCAAATCTGAAAACAATTCTATGCCACAAAAGTGTGTATCAACTGCTATAAAGTATCTCAGCAAAGCTTTGCTCAGATGGAAATCCGAAATAAAAAAAGATACTTGAGTAATGCCTAACAAAAATATTACAGTTAACTAAATTTCAAAATAATATACTTTGTACTATACTTAACTAAAGTTGACAATATACTATATTAAACTAAACTATCAACATTTTCACAATAGTAAATCAAAGTTCCATTGTATTCATTACAGTAAATCTTGTAAATCATGTATTCTGACACTATAAGAGAATATAGTTTACCATAATGAACTGAATTTACTTAAAGAAACAATAGCTAACTTTAGTAAATTATAGTAAACGAAATTTCCATTGTTATTGCTTTGAATAAAGAAAATCATTCAATTGTTTACACATTTGAATCACTATTCCATAGTTTTTACCATAATAAATCAAATTTTTACTAAAGTAAATCAAAGGTTCAATGTATTTACTATATTGTATCAAAGTAGTACAGTTTTTACTATAGAATGAGTTCCATATTATTCACTATAGAATTCAAAGCTCTAATTTTATAATATAATAAACTATAGTTAACCACAGTAAACTATAGTTAGCTATAGTTTACTGTTATATTTTTTTTATTTTTGGAATTTTTGAAAAGCAAACACATATCGCAAAGCGTATTCAGTTCATGTGATCATAAAGTTTAAAATTTAAACAATTACATGTATTATGTAAATTTGTATGCAATCTGTACACAATATATTTGAATTTATTTTCTTCTTTACTTTTCAGATTTTATTATGGCAATTTGCGTTTAGTTTTTGCAGTTCGGGGGGTTAAATTTAATTTCCTAACATACAACACTGTTTCTGATTTATTGTATCAAGTAAAAATTTTGAAACGTTACCTTTATTGATGTCAATTAATTCAAAGAATTGGTCTAAATCCACAGCGGCTGTCATTTCTATCAGAGTGGAGATTTCGCTCTCAGTAATAATATCGTCATCATTTAGGTCAAAAGACGAAAAATTGCAGAAATTTAAGGTGATGACATTCTGACAAAAACAAAGAGCATGAAATGAATCAATAATGAAGCATTGTAATAATGATTCAAAATTAGGAAATAAATCAAGTAACTTTTGTGATTTATCACTTCTTATTTTTATCATTTTGAAAAAAAAAAATATCAATTTGTACAGAAAAGGAATGGGATACTGATGTTTTCAAAGTACACACGTTTTTATTTTCAAATTATATTTTATTCATTTATGATACAATTGTATAATATATTTGTGAGTTAATCAGTAAAACTGGCTGAGATTATTGTTGAAATACAAGAAAAATGAAGATTACTGAATTTTGACAGAATGACATTTCTTACGTCATCAATGGATCTCTTCCCTAGAGCTGCTGCTGTTTTCGCTACTGCAACCGCTGTTTTAACCGTTCCAACGACCTTTGCTGCTTTTCCAATTGCTTTCCCAATCCTTCTTACTGCTCTACCAACCCTTCTCCATCTTCTTCTCCAAGCGTCAGACTCTTCCGTGAGCAGTAAAAACACCAATGAGAAAACGAGGATTTGTCGAAACTAAATCATGTAAAATAAATACACGTAACTCATTCAATGAAAAAAACTACAACACTTAATTTAGAGTATATATATATATATATATATATATATATATATATATATATATATATATATATATATATATATATATATATATATATATATATATATATATATATATATATAAATGATATTTACCATTATGAACACACACACAAAAAAAAATTGAGTATCTTTCTTTACAGCAGATTGTTTATGGAGAATAATGAAGAACAACGCGAATGTCTCTTTATAAGTAGAGATTGGCCTACCTTTGTTTTTTTCAGGAAACTACGCTTGTCAGTAATTACGTAATTAATGACCCCTCCAGCTCTCATAGGTCAGGCGTTCTTAGTTCTCTGTCTCTCAAAACCACAGCTGGATTTAAAAAAAAAACCAAACACTAAAACTGTCAACTGCTCGTTTTTTTTTTAATTTGTGATATATATTCAAGTCGTATAATCTCGGTTTTAAATTATTTTAAGACTGTTAATATAATTTTGGCGTAGTTTGAATATGAGCATAAAAATTAATTTTCCAACTTGAAGAGAAGTTTGTTAAATCTAATTGCTATGGTAAAATTTAGAAATTAATTTCAGAATTAAGGATTATCTCCCTCATGCATAGCTCTGATCCTTTAACGTATTTGAATCCAGTCTTTGGCACTCCTTTTTTCAACTCTTCAAAGTTTTGTTAAAAATTTAATTATGTCGGTATGAACATCACTGAAGAGACATAATTTGTGGAAATGCGTATCTGGTGCATCAAAATTGTTACCGTATACGATTTTCATTGTGCTGGTTTTAATCTTTTTGTGAAAATAAACCCATATTTTTGAGATTGTCATTATAAAGAAGTGTTACTTGATAGATACTGTAATATTTGTTTCGTTAGAGTTTATGAATAAGTTTCATTCTATGCTCCTTGTATGAAAAAGGTTTTTTTTTGTGTGCCAATTGTATAGTTTAAAAATAATCATTCATATCTCCTTTTGAAGACACCAAGCACATTTTCTAAGGATGGCAAGATAAAGATAAAGAACAGTGATCGATCTCATAAAAATCTTTAAACAATGCAAATATGTGAAGAGGGCATAAAACATGGACCCCTGGAAATTCCAGAGGTGGGATCAGGTGCCTAATAAGATTCCCCTGTTGACCGGTCATACCCTCAGTGATCCCTATGCATAGATCAGATAGACGGAATATTCCGTAGAAAAATTTAATATAAAAACAAAGGCCTAACAATTCGTATGAAACACGTCAGCCAACATACGACCCAATCACAGTTTATATTTACTAACAAGTTCATTGTAACGACCATAGAATTTACGAAATGCTGACTTTAAACGAGGTTGTTGAAATCCAAGTAACATCAACTTATCTGTCAGTAGCCTGTCTCGGTTTAAAAATTGATCGCACTCGGGGCATGCTCGTGAGTATCGAATAAGTTAGGAGATGTAAACACCATATGCAGGTGATAGTGGTATATTACTACATAAATAAAGAAAGTCATCTCGTTTGTCATACAATTTAGCTGTTAGTTTGCCTTTATAGTCTAAAGTCAGTAAAACATCCAAATGTAAAACAGATGTGGTAGACTCTGTGGTGTCTTTTATTTCAAGTTCACTGGGATATATCGAGTCGACATATGAATGGAAGTAACTATTTTTAATAGATAATACGTCGTCGATATATCTAAATGTCGAGCTGAAGACCACAGCAAGTGTTTTCTTCTTCACATGTAGAAGTTTTTGAGTAAATTCTGCTTCATGCGTCACTATACACAAAAATGGCATTAAAATCAATTTCATAGTTTAGTGAAAAAATTGTGCTAACACCTACACACTGGACCTCGATTTATACGGTCTCATCCGAAGGATCGGTTTCCACGACCCGCAGAGGATTCGAACCCGCGACGTAAGGATCAGCTCCTTAGTGTACTCTAGAGTCGCGGAGTAAGGAGAGGTTACTTACGTCGCGGGTTCGAATCCACAGCTGGACATGGAGACCGGTCCTTCGAACAAGACCGTATAAACCGAGGTCCCGTGTCGCAGTAGGTGTTGGCACGAAAAAGATCCCTCACTGCTCAATGGCCCTGATTGCCGAGTATAGGTATAAATTTGTAGACCTCCACCGGCAAGTGGTGGTGTCTTCATTAGTGAAAAATTCTCGAGAGGGACGTTAAACAACAAACAAAAAAACTTCATCAATAGGTAATTATTTGTTTAAAATTGATCTGGAGAATATAACGGATCATTAGGCTGGTGTACAAAACCATTCCTTAATGGATTGATTATTTCGATTCATTAGGCCTTCCGTTCACAACGGAAGACCTATAGTGATTCTGCTGTTTCTTCTTATTAATATCATTATTACTATTTTTTGACATTCTAATTTTGTGCACGCAATTTATCGAAAACTATATATAAGATGGATATAGACTATGAGCTTGAATACTGCTCGTTATCTCAATATTTCACATACGTGAAATTTTCAGGAATTATGTGTTGTAACATGATCTTGATCTATCTGAGAGAAAATTTGAAAATTCACTTCCAGTGTCACCATATATTGACCATTTTCTGAATTCAAATGACATTTTGTCAACGGGTAATCTCTACAATGGCAAAAGATACCAATGTTAAACTTTCAGGGATTATAGATCGAGATAAATACTAGCTTTGTTGCAACTTTTTTTTACGTAGTCAGCACTTCTGGTCTCTCAAGGAAGTGAATTTCAAGAATAGAGTTTTTTTTTATTAAAATCTTTTTTTCGTTTTATAAAATTTTTATTAGAGATAAAAAAAGTCCTTTTCTGATTTCTAAATATATAATATGTTTAAAAATTACTTATACATACTTATATAACGTATTCTAGATATTCGTCATTTTTCACTTTTAAGCGGTGGTTCCGATGGCTCAATGGTAAGCGTCGTGGATTTCCATGCGGGCGACCCGAGTTAAATCCCCAGTGTCCGAATTCTTTTCTCTCGTTTTGAGCTTAAATGAACATTTTTATCTTTAAAATGACATGTGGTAAGACCGCTGAATATTTACTGGCAATATTGGAAACATGCTGCATACATTTACAGTTGTTGCAGTCAATGCATTTAAAGATATTCATTGAAAAATTGTGCATACAATTTTTCGCTGACGTCCGAGAAAACACTGGATTGAAAATCTAGCTAGAACTACAATTTCAATTCAATGTTTTCTCGAATTCTGCGTCGAATGAAGTAGAATTTCAATCTAATGTTTTCTACGGCATCCGCGTTAAATTTATTCCAGTGACATAAGCAGCGTGTTTTCAATCTTACCAGATAATGTCCCACAGCTAATTTCTTCTGCTTCAATTCTAAGATTTTTTTTCATAATTTGAATAAAAACTTAAATAGTGATACCTATTTCTTGTGTATCTATATCTTGCACTTCTATCTTTCTCTTTCTGCACACAATATCATATTTAAAGACTGCTGATTACCTTAGAAACTTATAGAACATATGACTGCTGCAATCTTCAATTACATAATCCGCATTAACAATTAAGTATTATACTTTTTATTCAAGTTCATTTGTTTTAATATTGGGAGTAATAATTACATATAAAATAATCAATATCCTGTAATTTATTGCTAGTAAGAAAAAAAAGTTCTCTTGAATACAATGCCCTTACATGCGAGGGATTGGTTTTCTTTCTTGTCTTTGTGACGAGGATGGCATATTTATTGGCTAGCTTCAGATACAGATATTAAAGAGGACGAAAGGGCGGGAGGGTGGGGTTGCAAAAATATTTGAAATCGCTGTATCCATTTCTGATATCTCCTTTCCTGTAATGTACATTATTTATGTAACTCTATATGCATATAATATCATAGATCAAGAAGGTCAGTCGGTCGGAAAACCTCTCGTTGCCCGCAACGAGTTTCTAGTTTATTATATAATCATCAAAATACCAGATATTTCAAACACTGGTACAATGCATATCCATAGACTATTCCAATTCCTATTCATATTCCAAGGAACTTTTGGAAAATTCAAAATCACAAAATTTTACCAAAATCAATAACATAAAAATTTACGACTTTCCAACTCTGTACACAACCATTCCTCACGATAAATTAAAGTCCAGGTTTTTTGACATCATTAACAGCTTCGTTTTCAATAAAAGTGGAACTCTTAAATTTACTTACCATGTCATTGGTCATTTGCAAAATCATCTTGTTAAAAACATTCTGATTGGAACACAAAAGTACTCTGAAGTTGATATTGAAATGATGCTTGGGTTTCTGATTGACAATATCTATTTAGTTTTTGGAAACCAGGTATTCCAACAATCTGTTGGAATTCTCATGGGTACAATTGCGCCCCAATGTTAGCAGACCTATTTTTGCATTCATATGAAGCATAATTTATTCAAAGTCTTATACATGAAAAAGGGAAATCACTTGCTGTGGCCTTCAACTCGACATTAAGATATATCAACGACTCATTATCAATTAACAATAGTTATTTCCATTCATATGTCGACATGATATGCCCCAGTGAGCTTATTATAAAAGATACCACAGGGTCTGACACATCTGTTTCATGAAATATTTGGAGATAACGAACAGTATTCAAGCTCAAAAGTCCATTAAACAATGCAAAATAGGAGCAGAGCAAACATGGACCTCCAAACATCAGAGGTGGGATCAGGTGCCATGGAGGAGTGAGCATCCCCTGCCGACCGGTCACGCCCGCCGTGTGCTCCTTGTCATGATAGGGAAATAACGGAAAAATCCGTCGACAATTCAGTGTGTAAATAATGGCCTAACAATTAGTATGAAAAACGTCAGTCAGCATTTGATTCAATGATAAATTGTATTTGCTGACAAGGTCATTGTATCGACCATAGAACTTACGAAATGATGACTTTAAACGAGACAGCTGATATTCTTGTTTCATCAACTTGTTTGTCAATAATTTATATTACCTCGTTTTAGAAATTGTACATAAGTAGAGCATGCTCTTGCGTATCGAATCAACTGAGAGATATATACCCCGTATACAGGTGATGAAGGTATATTGCTGCATAAGTAAGGGAAGTTAACGATTGAAAAGTTAAAGTCATCATTTTATCATAAAGCTTGGTTGTTAGATTACCATTAAAGTCTTTTTCAAGTAAAATATCCAAATATGAAACAGATGTGTCAGACTCTGTGGTATCTTTT